CGATCATGATACATTTGAGCAATAAAATTATTATTTATTGTACCCCGCTCAGGCTAGGCTTGGTCACATGGCCTTGACTAAAATCAAATGTATCCCGATCATGATACATTTGAGCAATAAAATTATTATTTATTGTACCCCGCTCAGGCTAGGCTACATTACAGCATGTGATCAAAGCATGGCGGAAAGTGGTGTGACAGAAAGCGCAAAAAACAACACCAGTTTTCTTTTTCATGAATGAACACAACAACACAAATATGAAGCCTCAAGCTAAAGAGCAGCGATTTTCAAAGTTATCCCAGAAGAGAAACAGCAGTTAGTGGAGGAAAAAATGCAGATAATAAAAGGAAAGTACTTTGTAAATCATTCATTCAGTGGTTTTGAGAATTAAATTTGTGTTAACACAAATTTAATTCTCAAAAGTACCAGGTCTCAACTGTATTGATTCATTCCAGCTATTGCTCCGGTTATTACTGTTGACGTGAAAGTGGGGAAACAGTTAGATTTGTTTCCCTCGAGTGGAAACATCAGGACTTACGGGAAACTGGTAACTCATCTACCAGAGCATTAAGAAAGAGCTCGGTAAGGAATTTCACATCAGAAAATCTTCTTATCCTCAAAAAAATATGGATTCACTTACTATTTTAACCAGGGGCTCATAGTGCAAGTCTTTGAGCATGAACATGAGCCCTGGTTGGAGACATTTCTTCTCCTCCTTGTTGGGTGTGATATCGTGTATGAAGGCCACCTTATCAGAGGCTACTGTAATCACCTTGCAGGCTTTCTCTGTAAGGTTGGTTAATGCATAAATAATGAGGTCTACGATGTCGCAGTTAAATGCGCCTTCATAATAGTAGGCACTCAGTTCGTTTTCCCAGTTTTCCGGCATAAATGCAGCATAAAACCATTTATGATCATATAACTCGGCTACAACAGCATTTAGTAGAGCTTTGTAGGTTGGGAACGTGTGAGCTCCCTCTTCCTGCATCTGCATGGCCTAATGAGAAAACAATATGCAATATATCATATTAGTCAGTTGAAAATTCCCTAAACTCCATCTTCTTATGGTTTGTGGCAACAAGTAGATCTAATTTTATGCAAATGAAAGCCAGTGAATTTCAGGCAGGGCCAAAGTGAATGGTGAACGTCCGAGGCGTTATAAACAAAACTCAGTCATCTGGCTGGGTTAATTAGAAGGGGGAATTCTAGACAAGGGCAACATTTTTCTGTCTCTTATCCATTCTGAAGATTGCCTGCGCCACACGGAAACGAAATTTCCAGGTTTTTCTCTCGGTCTTCCAGGATGAAAAACTGGCGTACTAATTCAAGATGACTTTTTGAGTTAATTCTAACGAATTTTACTTACTGTAGAATATTCAACCTTCTAGTGTCTGCCACTACTTACAAATAACTTAACAAGAGTCTGTGTGATAGCCAAAAGACTGGATTTTGACGCATACCTTTCTTTTCCCTGCCCCCGCTGAAGCTGCGCGCCTTGTGCGACTTGTGCGCTCTCAGTTGTGCGCTCCATTCGCGCCATGTTGATCGCCATTTCGCCTAAACACACAAGTCGTTCCCAATCTTCTCTCAGTCATCCCGAAGTTTGGCAGCTTCACATGTTAACTTCACATGTTGCCTGCGTGCAGACGTCTCCTATTTCCTTTGTCTGCACGCAGGCAACTTCACATGCAACATGACTCGATAAGGATAATAGCCGTGGGCGATTATTTCTTTTTTCCCACCAAAAGGGGACGATTACTCGAGGGAGGCGATTATTTTAAATATTTCCGTCAAAGGGGGACGATTATTCGAGGGAGGAGATTAATCGAGGGACGGCTATTATTCGAGGAAACAGGGTATTTTTCCTTAACCCTGCGGGCCTTAATGTGGTCTAAAAGTAAAGTGGGCCCCCACCTCCCCTAGACTAAACTCAAGGACAAATTAACATGAAAGTCCCCATATCTCTTTCAACATCGGCCAGATGCCCGGGTGTATCACTTCTCCTCTGGAAAAAGCCGTAAACTAATATCCTAGCTGGTATCCAGCTTAAGATGTCTTTTTTTCTGTTTAGTCATCAGAATCAGATCAATTACTTTTGAAAAAGGTTATTAACTGGTTTTTCACTTACCCTATGCCACGCGTGTATCAAGCAATGGCCGTCCGTTGGGACTGGCTCTCGACGCAATCCTTCCTGCTGGAGGTATTCATCCACGCAGCTTTCAACTGCAACCGCGAAAAATTACAGACGTTTCTTTCTCTGTCCGTTAACTTAAAGCGTGATTCCATTTAAAAATCCGGACCGCCTCACTCTACCGAGTCGCCTTAAACAGAATTCTGTTTATGCGAGCAATTGATAACAAGGCTGACCAAATGGAAATACCCTCCACACAACGTGGAAAGAACCTGACGACTGGACAGATAAACAAAACTAGAAGCAACAGAATTGATTGTAGGGGCGATATCACATCTAGTATAGGCTAAAGGAAACGATCTGTAAGTTCATGCGGAAGTCTCGGTCATTTTTCTTAAAGAAACCTTCTGGATTTAAGAGTTTTGATTGCAATGTTTGAGAACTACGTGATCTGTTCAAAACTTTAAAATACCAGTAATAGTTGTTGACGAATGAAAGCAACGTTTAATTTTTGTCAGAGAGTGCGCTTTTACCTTAGTAACAACAGCGACATAAATTTCGAATTCAACATCATCGTTCAAGCATCGCGTTTACGGCTAACGGCAAACTTGAATATTTGTACCACGTAACCAAGTTTCCCCTTTACTTGTTGTTTACTGTTCATCGTTCATTAAAACTACAGGAAAATAAAATTCTGTCCACAAGAATGGTTTAAAGCTGTTTTTATCTCCTCATTTCTCATTTTGAAAATTTTTCAACTTGAATCTCAAGTTTGCCGTTTGTCGTATAGGTCGTATAGGCGATGCTTAATGTCTCTATTATTATTTTGTAGCGCCTTTGAAGGCAACGCAGCGTCCAATGAAAACGCAAAAGCGCGCGCAAATGGTTTGGACAGGACTTTCGGTGCTCATTTTCCAGCTCTGCCATTGGTCAAGTCAGTTTTTAAGAACTGCGCGTGGCTTTGTAACTGTTATCATCTACCTTTAATACAACAAACTTTAAATTCCGGCGTATTCTTCTTCTCATTTTTAGTTTAAGCTGGATTATTAACAGTCAATTTCTAATATTTCCGGAAAAATTTCATTTTAATACCAGTGGAAAAAGGGTCGTGTTTCAATTTTTACAATCGCTCACGAAAAGATGCAAGTTTTTTCTTTGCGTTTATGACGTCAAATGGAACTCTCGTTCGTATTGTGAATCATGCTAACTCTAAGAAAACTGCAGCAATTTACTGAATAGTTATGCTTTCCTGCATCAACTTTTGTCTCACATTAATTCGCGCTTTTTGACTAATTTAAAGAAATAATTTCCGCTGTCTAACTTTTTGTTTTGCTTCGCTTAGTTTTCAGTAGTGCGCGCGCACAGGCAAAAACAGCTTAAAAAAAGAAAATTATAATGAAGATTCTCAATCATAAAAATTCATTTTCCATCAGTTTCTCCTACGTGAAAAGTGTCTCTTTAGTTAACATTACTTGAATTTGAAGTTCTTGTATTAATGTCGAAAGCGTACCAAATCATTTTTGCCCGATTGTCTAACATAACCTGACTCGCAAGTGGTGAAGGGTATTGGCTTAACTCGAGTAATATAACAAGTTTACCGTACTTTTTAACACAAAAACTAAAAGGAAAATCAGTGAAGCTATCAACTCACCTTTACTCTGTTCACTCATTCTGATAATCAACTTTTGTAGCTTTAGAAAAAAAAACGCCTTTATTAATGCACTTGTTTAAGCAGGTCTGTCAAAGAATTTTACTTCTCAGCGAATGCCTAGTTACCTTTATGACGTCACATGGAAACCAAATATGGTCAATTCGTTATTTTAAGCGTGCGCATTGTATGATCAATAAAGACTCCTTTTATGGTGTTATGACAAATCGTTATGAAGTAAACCTGTTTTGTTTCCTTTGCTATAGTGCAGAACTTGATAGCGAGCACAACGTTGCTCGCTTCCGGTTGCTTTCCCTACTTTGTGTAACGTTCACCTGGACCTTCAGTGGAAACTCAATTCAAACTACTGCACACTTCTGCGCTTTCAGTTTGGGATACGCCGAAATGTGTATTAACCCTTTAACACCCAATGTTAACATATAAATTCTCTACACTGATCTTCATACATTAGACTTAATTGAGAGAGTTTGATAACAGATCAAAGCATTTTCTCTTAAGTGATCCTTTTATTAACTCTCATAACAATTTCTCTTGGCAACACATGGTTATTGTTAGGAGAAAATTGATGTTGGTCACAACTGGGACTTAAAGAGTTAAACACATGCCTACTTAAGAAAATGCAATAAGTGTAGGATTATAATGCCCCACGAAATGCGCAGTTCTCATGAAACCGTAGCAAAACGAGCATGCTAACTGCATGCACCTTAAATGTCGCTGCTGTTGTTTCGCGCGGCGGTAAAATCGTCAGTATTAAGCAGCCTTAATGATACTCAGAACCACTTTAATTTAAAAAAAAAAAACTCTTCTAGGGCATCAGACGTTTTGGTAGGTTCTTTCTTCTTTTATTTTCCTTATCATAATCCTCTCTCTTATCCTCTCTTGTTGGAACTTAAGAGTGGTTGACACGAGGAATTTTTTTCCTTAACAAGGAAAACTTTAATTTAACCTGAGATCAGGCCCAATTTGAGCGGTTCTCATACATTCTCTCTAACGGCTACCGCTAAAATTGGGGCTCTCTTTTCGTTTCGCCTTGCCCGCCGGAATGTAATTTTCAAAGCGAAACGAAAATAGAGTCTGATCTCAGGTTAACTTTAATTTTATTACACGTTAATTGATTACAATATACTATTGGTTTACCGTTTACCTATGGAATCTAATGTAAGAACTGCACTACAATGCTCATGAACAAATAACAACTATAGTTAAATTATTTAAAAATTCCATAACTTTAACTGATACCAATATTTGGCGAACATTATGTTAGCTATCAGTAGCTATCAGTCTAATCTAATTATCAGTTTGGAACCTCGATCAAAAACGCTTTGAAATTATACCCTAACAACTATAAGCGTTTCATCAAGCATTCCGATGTGTCACCTTTTTAAATCCTAACAAAATAAATTCTACCTTTAACAATTTTCGTTGCGGCTGTTTTACAAACTGTAGAGCAGTAAATATATATGATCCATGTGATCATGCTTGATATGGCATAGCCTGTTTCACTGCTCAGTCTAACTTCGCAGCTTTGCCGACGGCAAAGAGCTGCGTTTTTTCTGTTGTCGAGGAAATATGTTCTCCTGTGTTGGAGTAGAATTGTAAGTAGTTTGGTGGCCTAAACGAACCAGGCTAAATTAGTAATAATTTTGAACTACACTCACGCGACCCCACCTCGACGAGGATTAAATTTCACCCGGTACTAATGACTGGCGACCTTCAAACAACCACATCACATTGATCTACAAAAAAATGCATTTGTAAATATATATGAAATGTGCTTCTTGTTAGTTTTGGCATTTGACAGGTTTCTTTCCTTAATTAAGCAGAAACTGTTCCATGGAATCATCAAACTCTTCCATAAATGGAGTGTGCGATGGCGAGGCCTTGTGACCGGTAAACTTGCTTGTAAAACTTTGGTCTCTGTAAGTTGTAATGTTGTCAAGTTTGCTCTTGCACCAAGCGTGAAGCATTTTTGATACATCTAAATCGTAGCTGTAATTGGATTCTTTGACAAGATCAGCCACATAAGCAGTCTGGAAGTCGATTGCGTCATGTACGTCTTTCAGTTCTCCCATCCTGGTGGTGAAAAGTACATCAAAATGAGTGCTTTACTTATTAAACTTCCTTTAACTTTTTTACAAAACATCTTGGAACAAGAAGATCTAGCATCACCGATTGCCTAAAAAGTTGCTATAAACTAATGAACGAGATTGAATTTATTAAATATTAATAATAAATAATGATATTAAAGGTGCCGAGAAGTGCATCTTTGCACTAAGGCAAAGCCAAACTAAATTATAATATATTAATATACTGGGCCTCCTACCGCTATTAAAGTTGTTAAAAATCCCAACTCGTGGCCCAAAAGTATTGGTTATTAATAGTGCTGTAGCAGGTCAAATGTTCCTAACCCAGTGACTTTCATGGCAAAGAAACTTGAGAAATATTGATGACACACAGCTTGGCCAAGGCCTTTCCTCTCTACCCGTACATGAAGAAAGAACGTAATTTCCTTCAAATTATTCTTACAACTCGATTTCAGCCGCGACTTTTAACGTAATATTTATAAAACTCCTTGCACTGGTCAACTCCATACCCAGGGAATGCGGGGCAGAAGCGGAAGATTTCAGAGGATTTAGACCGTCATTTTGGCCACGATATGCGGGGTTTACGACAGTATTACTAAGATGCAAGTATCAGCGAGCGAAGACCATTTACGGTGCTTAGACGACGATTCGCCCTTGCCACCATCTTGAACGCCAATTTAGTAATTCAAGGTAGAATATTGCGCATCTTTACAATTTTGGCTGTTTGAGAAATGGACAGTGTTGTTGATTTCACTATTAATTTGTAAAAGTTCAATTCGAGGCAAAAATTCTTGAAATTAATTTGGGTACATTTGCGATTTTTGAAGTACGGTATTTCCCCGGGGGCAGGGAACAAAACTGACGTTTTGACGTACGAATTTTAAAATTGCTCCTCTTAGTAGGGACTTGCTTAAGGTAGGAGGCAGACCTGGTCTTCTGCTCTGGTATTCCCCGGGTATTATAGGGGTGTGGGTCTTTCAACCACCCCTCTATGTTGCTGTCAAATGGGTACCTCAACGAGCTAGTTAAATACCCCCCCCACCTCCCCCCGCCCACAAAAGTTCTAACGCATTTTACTTTGCGTAGTCGCGTTTCATTTAGGTTTGATGTACCTTTGCATGCACTTTTTAATTTTGTTGTGCATTGGTACTTGAATAGTCTACAAGCGCAGAGTATGCCATATGCTCCTGCGCCACTGCAACCTGAACTGATCACTCAGCTCCCTTAAAATTGTGTCACGCACCAAGAGCAAATCATATGAAGGTGTCCTTCTTTGTGGCTGATACTGTCGCAATCTGTTCTTAAGTGTGCTGATACTAAAGGTTATTTGATGAAACGTGGCTAAAAATGCACTTCATATTCGTATCCTCTCGTAAAATAGTATGTAATAAGTTTCCTTTCATCCCCAGTTGGTATACCTGAAGATGAAGCCATTGTTATTCCAAATTGAGAAAACTTCGATTCCAGAGTGCTCGTCGATATCATTGTCTGACATTGCTTCTAGTCTCCCTAAATTTTGTTTAGTGCGAGTTGACGGTTGCGTATCGTGACATTTTGTTTTGCATCATGAAACATTGTTGCGTGATGTCTGATGTCTTTGATTTGACTTCGAGAGTTCCTCAAGGGTCCTATCTTAGCCCTCTACTGTTTTCGATCTACGCAAGCAAGATATTTGATGTTATTCGATCGCATCCTCCATCCGTGCATGCGCACGCTGATGACACTCAGCTGTATGTTTCATTTTATGCCAACAGTATTGACGATCATACTTCTGTCCTTGCTGCAATGGAACACTGCATCAGCGACATTAGGTCTTGGATGCATCATGATAAGCTTTAGCGTAACGATGAATAAACTGAATTCTTCGTCACTAGCTAAAGTTTCTGTTAACTCAATTACCGTTGGATCTGTGGATGTTTCATCTGCTGGCGAAGCCAGAGACCTTGGTATGTGGCTTGATTCAAACCTTACAATGTCTACTCACATTAATAAGACGTGTGGAGCAGCATTTTTCTATCTCTACAATATTCGCCTCAACATAAAATTCGTATCTAAAGAAAGCACTGAGACCCTTATTTGCGCGTTCATTACTAGCTGGCTTGATTACTGCAACAGTTTTTTCTATGTTTTGCCTAACAGTCTGATGTTAAAGCTCCAGCGAATTCAAAACGCATGCACTCGCTTGGTTTATTGAGTGCCTTCATTTCTGTCACGTTACGCCAATATTACAGGATTTCCACCGGCTAACCGTGAGGCAACGCATTGATTTTAAGATGATTTTAATTACTTTTTAAGATTTAAAATAATGTGGCTCTTTCTTATAGTCTTTCGTCTCTTGTTTGTGTTGCGAAACCTTCACGTTACAGTCTTCGAAGTTCTCGTGATGGAACCTTACTCCGCTTTCCACCAATGAAGTCATCAAAGACCCTTGTGGATCGCGTTTTTATGCTCGCGGCCCGCGTTTTTATGTTCGCAGCCCGCGTTTTTAAGTTCGCCGCCCCAAAGTTGTGGAAGAGCCTACCACGTGACACACGGTCCAACATGAATCCATCAACTTTTAAAATGAAACTGAAAACATTTTTATTTTCCCAAGTTTTTTCGTGACTAGGTTCTTGTTTTAACTTGTATATACTTATATTTAGGATTATTTTTACTATTTTTAGAACTTCTGTGAAGCGCATTCATCGCTAGGTTCTTAATTTTTACTTGCATTTAGAATTGTTTTTATTGTTTTTAGAGCTTCTGTGAAGCACAATCTGTACAAGTGTCAGTTATTATTGTTATTATTATTATTAGCGCGAAACTGTTTTGTGTCTCAAAACATCGTTGTGAGTCACGAAACTTTGTCTTGTTTCAAGCAAAATTGTTTTGTAACGGAAAAAATTTGGTTTTGTATCGGGAAATATTGTGTTGTATCGGGAAGTTTGTTGTGTTTTCGACATAATATTGAGTCGTGTTTTGCCCCCGGCCTGTGGGCCACCGTATTTTTCCTGAAGATAAAACAACAACAACAACAAGAAAAATAATTACTTTGTTATCCAGTTTCTGCTGTCGCTTTCCATTTCTTCTTTATCAGGAAGTTTTAGTTCCCCCATGATGTACTTGACCGCCCACTTTGCTTGTGCATCAAACATGGTGAATGTGTATGCTTGGTCCAACATACCGATGTACAGAACTTTGTCATTTCCGCCCCGGGTCCAGAGAATCGATTTGTAGAGGCCCTCTGGGTACAAGACATTGGTCGTCTTGAGACGCAAGCGCTCTTCCAAAAAAGGAAAAGAGTAGTGGTAGCCTGTGCAAAGTATGATGTCATCAACCTCCGCCCTGGTGCCATCTTTAAAATGGACTATGCTTCCTTCTATCTTGGATAGTAGTGGCTTTTCTGTTATCTGTGGGGGCCATTTGAAACCCATCGGTCGAGTTCGCCAACAGCAGATGATATTTTCAGCGCCGTACTTAAGACACTGGACAGCGATGTCTTCTGCTGAGTAGCTGGAACCAATGGCAAGAACTCTTTTTCCTTTGAAGTGAGAGGCATTTCTGAAGCTATGTGAATGAAGAACTCGACCAGGAAATTGGTCAATTCCAGGAAAGGAAGGTATGTTGGCTACAGAGAAGTGCCCAATTGCTACAATGACGTAGTCAAATCGCTCAGCCGGAAGGACCTTGTCTTCTGAAAGATTTTTGGCGACTACAGTGAAGTCGTCGGTAGAATCGTTGTAGGTTACTTGACGTACAACATGACTGAAGTGAACCCAAGGGCGAAGTTTGCTTTTTGACCATCGGCCTGTGAAAGAAAACGTTTGTTAAACTCTAAATCTCAAAGCTAAGAAATGTGAACCCCTGGTTGAAAAGAATCTTAAGTGAGTTTAATTAGTTCTTATTTTTGAATTTCTGTGATACACATACCAAATAGAGGTTACAGAAAACTCGCATTCCCTCCCATGAGGGAGTTTCCCCACCATCTGGGTTTTGTCAGACATACAGTTTTTATCTTCCTCCCTTCCGTCTCCTTGTAACCCATAACGGGATTGTTTTTCTGTTTCTATCAGCGTTTTGTTGCATTGCAAACTTCTTCTATTTTTAAAACTAACAGTATTGGTATTTTGGCTCCTTATCAACGTTGTATTGGTTCCCAAAAGGAGACTAACTTTATCTTGTATACTTCTTTTTTTTTTTCGATTTATTTACAGCCTTGGCAGGGGTTTAATAGGAGTAGATACTTGGGTCTTTTTCTAAAAGGCTTTAGCCAAACAATAAATTTAATTCAAAACAAATACTTCAAAAAATATTTAAAAATACTTAACTGTCAGATAATTACGAAAGACCTCTCTTGGTGTAAACGATGGAATAGGTTTCCCAAAATGATCATCAAAGGTATAGTCTGGAAGTTCATAACATTCCTTAGGAGCATTTGTCCACAGGCCCTGGTACATACTTCCATGTACATGTTCCCCGTATTCATCGGTATCTGTGAACAAAGCAGATACATCTTTTGTTCAACGTTCTACGTGCTCAGGTCATCTATCGATTCAATTACTTCATGAAGAGTGCACCATCACCATATTTCTCTTGCCTGCGATTCACAGATACCACTACCACCACATTCAACAAACAAACATAATAGATTTGCATTGAATCTACATGGGCGGATCCAGGACTTCTCTTAGTAGTGGGTGCACCACTTAGGAATGGCACAACTGACTGCTGACGTAAACAAATTTTAAAAGCGAATACGAAGAAGAAGGCTTTTGACCAGGAAATAACATACAGTGGGAACTGCTGAGAACAATAGACGACTGTTTAACTGTGACAATAGACGGATCGAAACGCACCAATTACTGATTACGAGTCTTCATGGCCAATAACATCACGGCTTAACTGACAGACGACCAATAACACTGCGACGTAATTGACCAATCAGATCAACAACCAGAGTATAAGACCATCAACTGACGTGATACAACTCACTTTGACTCTGAAGATGACTACCGCACAGGTTGTCGAAACGTCAGTCACTGTCAACAACAACAGTCCTATTTAGGACTACGTTCACCTGGACGATCAAACACAACCTACTTTTGAAATGACTCCTGTGTTCAAACCTTTCACACATAATTAAAACAGTTATTAGATTCAGTTTTTCTGATTCCCGGAATAATCAAAGTCTAGGTAAGTGTTATCAGCCTAGACCTTCGGCTCGGCTGATAACACTTACCTCGACCTTGATTATTCCGAATATCACAAAACCTCATCAATTGATTGTTTATAATAGGAAGCCGCAGTTCATCTCAAGAGGGGGGGAGGGGGCACCCCCTGCACCCTCCCACTAGATCCGCCCCTTACCTGGTGTTACTTACTTACCGGTAAATCATTCTTGTTCACCCAATAACCACTTAATAATTTCTCTTCTCCACTACATTTCATTTATCTCCTCTCCACCGGCATTAATACAACCCCACATTTTATTGTTTTCCATCTATCATTATTACATTAAATTGGTTTTCCCTCCACCACCACCATCACCACCCCTACATTTCTACTGTTTTCTATCTACCGCTATCATAATTCTGAAGACCTCACTCAACACCACATTTTTATTCCCTCATCCTCCGCCACAGTTCTAAGAATACACCCTAAAAACAACTTTGGATCAAAACAAGCAAATTAAAGACTTCGCAATTTTAATTCAACAGAGATCATGCTTTTTGTTAGATTTATTTCGGCGTATATGAGGTTATTTCTGTGAGCATTGAATCTGGCCCCGGTTGCTCAAACGTTGGATAGCGCTATCCAGCGGATAAGTATTGGGAAAACTAATTGCACTATCCACTGGATAGAGATTTATCTGGCCCCAGTTGTTCAAAAGATGGCTAACGCAATCCATCGAGAAAATCACTATCCACTGCATAGCGCAATTGGTTTCCCTAACACTTGTCCGTTGGATAGTGGTGGGTAGCGCTATCCACCTTTTGAAGAACGGAGGCCTGGTGAACGAAAGTAAAATGGTGGACCACACTCCCCAGCCCCATTTTCTCCGCGTTCCCTGTACTTACTTAGTCGTTTACGGTGATAATAATAAACTTTATAAAAATATTAGGGACTTTAAGATCCAACGACGCGGACGACAACGAGAACGTCAAAAAAAAAAAGCAAAAGGTTTAATTAGCAAAACAACAACTTCGCATGTGCATCACACTTTTTTGAACATTTCTTTCCCATTTTTGCACGACTACGACGTGAGAATGCCTAATTTCGCGTTTTCTAGAGGACGTTAAACAAGCAACCACGAAATTTTTTTTCTCTTTCTGAGCTTGACTGGTCCCTTGAAATTCAGCTTCAGGAGGGCTCGCCTACAATTTGCAAAGTAAGTGGGTAGGAATAATCACTATAAAGACTGAAAGAACGCAAATTCACTTTTTAAGCGACGTTCTTGTTGCCGTCGCGTCGTTGGATCTTAAAGTCTCTAATAATTAAGATATATAGTACGCACGCTCTGATTGGAAAGCCTGTTTTTGCAAAACAAGATTACCCGTGCAAGACTTCGTGTACAAGTCTTCCCGACTGGTGACAATTTCTCTTTTAATCAGTGCCATAACCAAGCGTTTTTTTCGCGGGAAAGTTAATTTATTAAAGCAATATAAAACTTTTCCCCTGTATTTGCTTAGCCTGATATAAACACGAGAGGGGTCGGAAGAATTGTCGACATTTATGTAAGTACAGCAAAATAATCTCCTACCTGTTCGCCATGAATAGTTCCAGAGACCACCCCAATCAGACTGCTTTTCAAAGCACACAATCTCTGGAATTTCCTGTCCCTTCATTTCCAACTGCTTGAATTGATATAAAGCGGACATTCCACTGGGTCCTGCACCAATCACACAAACGCGCTTTGCCTTATACATTTCCTGAGAAAGAAAACGGCACAGTTGATTATTTTTATGTACTTTTCATTGCACTCACCTGATCTGTAGCCTTCTCTTCAGCAGTGACTCATGGCTCAATCGTGGGTTCACTTTTGTTTGCAGTTGTGAAAAGACTAAAAAGAACTGGCTTCTTCCAAGGGTAAAGTGACCGCTAGGATATCTTATGCGTACAGTTTTCAGGTTTGCATGGAAAATAATGAACTAATAAAGAGGAGAAGCCGTTACGTCACGTTGCCATGGTTGTAGCAATTTCTGGATCTCAACAACCGCGGGTGGTATTGCAAATATGGCAGGAAAAACGAAAAATTGACATGTATGACTTTCCTGAGCTTGACTGCACTCAGGGAAAAAAAACTGTAGATAGACTATACTTTTCTTCCATCGTTCGACAATGCAAATGGCCGTCAGTTCTTTCAAGTACGATTATTGTGATCCAGAAATTTTGCTACCTTGGTAACGTGACTCCACACTATAGTTTGAAAAGTTAGGAGTTGGTCTTGGAGAGAATTTAACACAGAATCCTTATATATGAATTGCAGAGAAACCTGGCGGTACTTCAGTACATCCCATCAAGGAATTCTAACAACTCTGCACGCACAGGTTCACTAACATTTATAAGAGGATCCTTTCTTCCCGGTTTATAAACGCTTTACCGTAAATTTTTGTATTAAGCCCCAAACACATTTGAAGAGGGAGCTTATCTGAGAGGAGGGAGCTTATTTAATTTAACAAAGACGATGGTATCCGTTCTTCATAACAAACTAGAATACAAAGAGGAAAAGCTCATGTTCTAGAAGTTGGAGGTGAATAAATCGACCCGGATCAGACAGTCATGAAGGATAATTAACAATTATTCCTCGAGCCCGAATGGGCTCTGAGTCAATAGCCCATGAGGCCGAAGGCCGAATGGGCTATTAATTCAGAGGCCACGAGGGCGACAGGAATAATTGTTTTAGTAAAATCCAACTAGTCGGTCAAAAATATCGAGACACAACACCTTTAGCTAGCAAAACGCGATTCAGCCGCCATTGTTTTGGTAGCCGGCGATTTTCCCTACTAGTGGGCTATAACTTATAGCCTAGTAGTAGCTCAACCAATCAGAACGGTGCACTGATAATAGACCACTAGTTGGATTTTACTAATAAGGGGATAATTAAGGATAATAAGGGGGATGGGGGCTTAAAAGAGAGCGGAGCTTATAAACTTTTTCCCCCGAAAAGGGGGGCTTATTTTAGAGGGGTTGGGGGGTGGGGCTTAATAAAGGATTTACGGAAATCCAACCTCTAAAGTTGTAGACAATCTGGAAAATTTTTTCCGCACGTCGCTAAGACAAACTGTCGCCATTAAAGACGCTGACTTCCTATACTGCCCAAGTTTTGCTGCTCTGCATGAAAAGTTTTTTACCTCCGCTGCACAATTACTTGAAAAAAAACATGGCATTGTGTCTCAGATAAGAAATAAAGTCGATTGGCTGTTAAATGGTATTTCTACTGATGATTTTCAAATTGACGTAAAGTTGTTTCAGCTTGTCCAGTCGTTTATTTTGCTATCAAATCGCTTCTGTTAGTTGCTGTGTGTGTTTTTTATATTTATTTATTGATTGATTTGTGTTTTTCTTTTTATTCTTTCGCTTTTTTCATGTGTGTGTCTATTTAAAAGCTCTCAAAACATAGCCAAGAAAAGTCTTAATACTGCTGACAGTTTCGATGACTGTCAGCGATCTTCATCAAAACTATAGTTTTCTAGTTTTGATAAAGATGGGTGACAGTCATCGCAATACTGTCAGCATCATTAAGACGTTTCTTGGCTATGATTTGAGACCTTTTAAATATATATTAACTTTACTAGCCTGATGAATTTTTTCAAGAACTTATTGCTGTGTGTTCGATCTTGATGTGCATTTGTGGCTAAGCTCTCGCGCGCGAAGCGCGCCAACGGCGCACCATAAGTAAGAAAATGAAGCAATCTACCCAACCGAGAAAATTTAGTAATCACGTGACCGTACACCGACCGACCGCCTGCCCGAGAGACCGTCCGTTCGCACTACAGGCATACCAATGTAAAATAACTCAATCAACAGGTATGGTAACACAAATGCAACTTGAGGTTACTTTGGCGGGAAATTGCATAGCCACCGGCGTGTTATAAAGCAGAGACAACAAAAGAGTCAATAAAGACGAAAACGGAAAGCGGAAATTGTTTGTGTAGCCGTGTTGTCTAAGGTATTAAGCTTAGATAAATTGTCATGCCCACAAATTTCGAATATAGAGCAAGAGAAAGAGAGAGAAAAAGAGAAAGTGGGCGGCAGGCCAGCGAAGCTCAACGAGAAAAAGGGCGACAGGGATTAGAGCGAGAGATAAAAAACTAAGGAGACATTGTTTTGTTGGAAGAACAACATGAAAATTTTGTAGCGGCGGTGACAAAATGACAAGTGCTAGCGGCCGCCAATGTGAGGTGAAAATGAGCGGCAGTGGAAAAAAGTGAACGGGAAACGACATTTCCTCCATAAAACGTGTAACTAAGAAGTTTCTGGAAGTTTCAAGTTGTAGTCGTGCAAAACAACGGCAAAGAAATGTACAAAAAAAGTGTGCTGCACGTGCAAAGTTGCTTTTGCTAATTAGACCTATTGTTGCGTTGCATGCCTTCCCCGCTTTGCATTAGACGATTTCATATTTTGTTTGAAAAAACTATAAATATTATCGAGAGCTTCGCTTTTAGCCCTGGCTAAATCTATATATTATTTTTAAATATTTAATGTAACAGCTAGCGTAAGCTCTCTAGATGAGCCCTTTAGGCTCTTAGAGCAAATGCTACAATAAATATTGTCTATATATAGAAAAAAGACGCTGACTTGAGGTCCTCAGGGGGCTTTCGGAATAACAGGGGTTGACTGTAACGATCAGTGCCTGAGTTCACCTGTATACTCCGACGGTGATGTTGGGGTTTAAGACTCTTTAATGATCAAAGACCCTTCCGCGGTTTTTTCAACTTTTTGACTTGAACCAGGGAAAGAAAATCCGTCGCCTTCACTGGAAACAACACCTTAAAATTAGTAAACTTGCGATGTTTGAAAGTGATTCATCTTAAAAGCTATTTATATAACTGACCCAATTGGAACTAACAAAAATAACTGTGTCTCTATGTATTTCAGCAGAAACTCATAAGGGGTTGATTCAACCCCTTGTGAGTTGATTTCAGTCAGTCATTCACATGCTCGGACCTCTTTGTAAATTTTACAACACTTTTTCTTGTTCTATTTTACTCCTTTCATTTAAGACTTAAAAACTAATACTTGCATCAACCTTTATTCAAAAATTTATAGTCCTGCAACGGGGTTACCATCACGCAAGACGCCTAAATAAAATGAATACAAATTAAAAGTAATGACGTTAAAAAAAACTTTTCTACAAAAGATAAAATGGATAAAAAAAAAATTCCACAACATCAATCATTCTGCAATATTAAAATTCATCATTGACTAAAATACTCAAATAAAACTTTTTTGAAACGATCTGCGAACTTGATGTTAATGATGTGATGATGATGTTACTTGATGTTACAGTTCTACAAAAATAACTATTCTTATAAGTCTCAGTATTTGGCAGCAGTTCAATAAACTTGTTTTGGCTAGAGTTCCTTAAATGTCTTCTGCGCTTCGTAACATAGTCTGGGAAGGCCAGGCCGCCATCNCTTGTTTTGGCTAGAGTTCCTTAAATGTCTTCTGCGCTTCGTAACATAGTCTGGGAAGGCCAGGCCGCCATCACCATGAATCAGCTTTGTGGAATAAGGCTAACCGCGAGATTGTTCTTCGTTTCAGGGGTATCCAGTTTAATTCGTTCAAGAGGTTTGTAACTGTTCCTGGTTCCCGCGTGTAACAGTTTTTAACGAAGCGTGCGGCTCTTCTTTGTACTCCCTCTATTTGTTTGACGTATTTTTTAAGTGTGGGTCCCAAACTGAGCTTGCGTATTCCACGTTAGGCCTCACAAGGGCTTTGTAGGCTGCCTCTTTCACTCCCTCGGGACAACTGCTCAGGTTTCGCCGAAGAAATCCGAGTGATCGATTGGCCTTCATGACTTTGTTATTTACATGTTGGCCCCAGTCGAGGTTTCTGGACAATTCTACGCCTGGATAGGGGTGGTGGGTGACCGAATCTAAAACTTTTCCCATAAGGACATAGTTAGACTCAACAGGATTTTGCTTCCTCGATATTCTTAAGACGTGGCATTTGCTGGGGTTAAGTTTCATTTGCAATTTCTGGGCCCATTCTTGGAGTGCTGTTAGATCTGAATGCAGTTTGGCGGCATCATCATAAGAGCGAAAAGACACATCCTAGAGGTACAATTTTCTCCTACCGAGAACTGTCCCCTGGGGGACCTCTGATAGAACTGGCACGTCCGGAAAGTTGTACCCATCAACGACGACTGACTGGCTTCGAAGTTAGCCCGGTGTTAAGAATAGCACGTAGGCCATGGTAGCGCAGTTTCATTAGGAGGCGCTGGTGCGGAACCGAATCGAACGCTTTCGAAAAGTCCATGATTATTAAGTCAGTTTCCTCACCTTTGTCAAGGGAGCGAGCTGCGGAGCGAGCTATTTCTTCTACTGTACAAATTAACTGAGTTTCACGTGACAGTTTTTTTCGAAAGCCATGTTGATAGTTAACTAGCACTTGATTTGAATCAAGGTGGGACATCATTTCGTGAAAGATAATGTGTTCCATAATTTTACAAGGCACCGACGTAAGAGAGATCGGTCGATAATTGTCCACTTGACTTCTGTTAAGTCTATTGCTGAAACTCACGTTAGATTTTAGACTGTAACAAAATGGCGTTATTAACCACCCCGAGGGGTGGTACTCCCATACATTACCTATACGAGTTTGTGCCGCCCAACGGGGTCGTGATTTTGAAGCTCCTGATTTAGAAAGGGGTATCCATTTCAGAGGCGTTTTCTAAAACGGGGTATAAAAAATTGTGGATCAC